TTCAGCAAAGCAGCATGTTCATAGCAACACGCCAACTCGGGTCGGCAAGTGCACTACGGAAGGTCTTGGGGACGGGACAGCTGCGCCGCATGGAAGAGAGCTAGAATCCGGAAGCCGGTCTTCGCGCGCGTTGTCATTGAGTGTTGGTTGGTCACTGGAGGGACAGCAACGGCACCTTTGAGTAGCGTCGCGGGAGATGGACAGCCAATGGCCGGTGGAGGGCTGCCAGCAAGCGGTACAATCGATGTAGCAGTCGGGCGGCCCCAGCACGAGTAGGTGTGCGTGATGACACGCGCCGGGGCGACCCACTTGTCGGCGAGTACCAGCTGCGGGGCCGCTAGGACGAGCGGCGGCACTAGTGGTGACGCCGGCACAAGTGGCAGGAAGCCGGGTGGAGGACCGCGCACGCCTGGGGAGGCCGCAGCATGGCCGCGCGTGACCGGACCGCGGGCGCGTTGTGGAGCCGAACTGAGCGCCGTGGATGGCGGCGCAAGTGCCACACGTGGCGTGTGGGCGAGGGCGCGACCAAAGGCGCAGTCGAGGGCGAGGGGCCGATTGGGAGCACATCAAGCGCTGCTGAACCAGCTGGGACATCATCGGGCAGAGCCGCATGTGTCTGTGCGGGAGGTAGAGCGCCGGAACTTGCAGGGAGAAGCCTTTGTGTGGATCCAATGGGAGCCGGCACATAGTCAATCACATCCAAAAATCAAAGTCCGCCGGTGATGGGCAAGAGCCATGCTCAGCATATGGAAAGGCCGACTCGTCAAAAACAACATGGCGAGAGAAGATTAATCTGTTGGAAGAGAGATCAAGGCAGTGGTATGCTTTATGATGAGCAGAATAACCCAGGAAAATAGGGTGGACCGAGGAGAAAGTTTGTGGTTGGCTGTAGCGGACAGGATGGGATAACATTTGCAATCAAAGACACGGAGATGATTATAAGAGGACGCAGTGCCGAAGATGGCAAAGTGCGGGGTGGATGATATGAGCGTTTTGGTGGGCAAAATGTTGATGAGGTAGGTGGTTGTCTCCAAGGCTTCGTCCCAGAACGAGGGTGGAAGGGATTCCTGGAACAAAAGGCAGCGAACATTATTGATGGAACGAATGATGCGCTTTGCCTTACGAGGTGTAGGGGCATGACATGCGGAGGTGAACACCATGGGTGAGGAAGAACGTGCGGGAATTAGAGTTGTCAAGCTCCCGTCCGTTGTCGCACTGAACTACCTTGACTATGGTGCCGAACTAGGTGGACACATAGGCAATAAAATTAGCTAGCGTGGAGAAAGCGTCAGATTTAAGTTTCAAGGGAAACGTCCATATATAATGGGAGCAATCATCGAGTATGACCAAATAATATTTATAGCCCGAGACACTGATAACAAGCGAGGTCCACATATCACTATGTATTATAAGATCAAAAGTATTGTATGCTCGAGATGCTGACATATGAAATGGAAGACGCACATGGCGGCCTAACTGACAAGCATGACAAAGTGAAGAACTAGTATCATGGCGGCAAGCAAGAAGACCAGATGACGCTAGGTAGGAGAGGGCCTCGTGTCCAGGATGACCTAGGCAGCGATGCCAAAGTGAAGACCTAGAGGCGGCGACCAAGCAGTGCGCAGCCAGTAGACGAAGAGGGTACAGCAGCCTGGAGCTATTGCACCTAACGATCATGTTCCGAGACAGAAGATCCTTCACAGAACAACCAGTCGGGTCAAACTCAATAGAGCAATTGTTATCAATAGTGAACTGGCGAACAGAAATAAGGTTCTAAATAAGCTGTGGTGAAACCACAACATTATTAAGATGTAAGGATGGTGAAATAGCTGTAACGGGAAGGAAGGAACCGTTACCGACAACAATAGATGAAGGAGTAGGATACGGCGAGGGAGTAATATGTGAAAGAATGCTGGAATGTGATGTCATGTGAGAAGTAGCAGCTGAATCGAAGTACCAGTTGTTGTTCTGGGTCGGATTTAGTGTCATGGTGCTGAAAGTCGACACTAGGGATGGCTAGTCCCAGGAGGGAAGCCTAGCAAGTGGATTGTAGAATCTAGGAGGAGGTGCCGTCCATTGCCAAGTGGGATCCATGGCGGAAATCGGCCGTGTATCGGTCACGAGGTGGCGGCGACACCAGCAGCCTTCTTTGGGGGCATCTTAACGGCAGGCGAGCGAGGAGGCCACGATCGGCCACATCTGGATGGACCCGCCCACGGATTGTAGGAGGGCCACGGGGTGCCCCCGGGGTTGGACCCACCGGTCTTGGGCTGCCCAACGGATTGCGCGCCGGCAGCCGCGGCTGGCCTCCGTTCTATTGTCCAGAGCCGTCGCGCTTGCCGCCACGCTTGCCGCGACAGCTCATGGAGGAAGGAGTTGTAGCGCCCCTGGAACCTAAGCCGCCTGCGGCGGGCTGCTGGGAAGTAAGAGGGAGCAGGGCGGATGTCGACGAGCTAGTGGAGGCGACGAGGGCAGTCTGCTGAGAGGGCGCCTAGTTCTCCATCGTGAGTTCCTCCACCAAGAGGTCAGACTTGGCCTCCAGGAATGTGGGGAAGGGGCGGCTACGCCGGAGGTGCATGCCGATGGTCTTGAACCGCTCGTTTAGGCCGCGGATGACGTTGAGCACGAGGGTGCGGTCGGTGACGACCTCACCCAAGTTGCCGAGCATGTCTGCCATGTGCTTGAATTCCCTGCAATAATCGGTGGTGGACAAATCACCTTGAATGAAGTTGCAAAATTTGGCGTCGAGGTAGAGGGCTCGTGTCTTGCGGTTGCTGAAGAACTGCAATTCAACAACACGCCAGGCGTCACGAGCGGTGGAGTTCCGGGCCGAGATCGTCTCAGCGAGATCGTCGGAGATGGTGCCTTGGATCCAAGACTTGACATAATCCATGCGTGTGCAGTCAGGGTAGCCGGGCGCCGAGGCATCCTGCACGACGTGGTCCTGAAGGGAGTATTTCCCAACAGTGAGGAGTAATTGATCACGCCACCGATTGTAGTTGCCGGCGTTAAGGTCGAGGACGACGGAAACAAGACTCCGAATGTTCTGCATAGCGACTGCCTAGGCATGAAGGTTGGCCATGGCGGCCACTTCATGCAGGAGCAGGGCTTGATGAAGGTCGTGGTTGTTGGAGATGTGATCGTCCTCATCGGAGGGGGCATCGTCGTCGTTAGGCGCATCTGCGGCAGCGCGTTCGGCGTGAGCCAGGGCGTCGCGAGCACGTGTTGCAGCGGCTTAGCACTCCAGAGCTGCGGCCTGGGCTTCTCGCTTGGCGGCAGCGGCGCGTGCCAGGGCGGCATCGCGCGATGCTTTCCGGGAGACCGCACGCTTGCACGAAGCGGCATCAGCCGCAGCCTTCACCTGGGCGTCGGAGTCCAGGGTTGATTGGTCGACCTCCACGGAGGCGGGGTCCTTGGGATCGGCTGACTTGCCGGCGGCGGCGACAGCCACACGAGGCGTGAGAGGGGGAGTCCCAGCCATGGAGATCGTGGCACAGCGGGATGCCGGCGCGAGAGAGGCGCAGCCAGAGAACGGCACGCTTGGGAGGGATGGGCGCAGCCAGAGAAGCGCGCTAGGGCAGCGGAAGGTGAATCGGGGTGGAAACCCGGACTCATACCATGAAAGAAGATATGGCTCAGGAAAATTGGTAGATTGATAATAGGAGGTACAGAGGTTGTACAATATATAGGCAAGGATGTCCTGGGGTTTATAGAACAATACCCAATCAGGGAGATTTTTGCCTAATAACAAATCAAAATCAACTACCATAAAACCTGTGGAGGCTAGCTTAGGCGCCTAGGCCCATGCGGCCAGCCTAATAGCCCTCTCGAAACCCCATTCTAACAGACACATCTCTCTTGATCGCGATGGCATCGCCTACCTACTGCTCTACGTCGATGACATTGTACTCATGGTGTCCTCTCCTGCTCTACTGCAGTGCATCACCGATGGTCTCAGCTCCGAGTTCGCAATGACAGACCTTGGCGCTCTCCGTCACTTTCTCGGCATCACGGTCACGTGCTCCTCCGATGGCTTGCTCCTGTCACAGTGACACGCCGTCGATCTACTCCAGTGGCCGGGCATGGCTGAGTGTCACCCCACAGCAACTCCGGTCGACTCTCGGTCCAAGCTGTCTGCAACTAACGGCGATCCCGTTGTTGACCCCTCGAAGTACCCGAGTTTGGCTGGCGCTCTGCAGGACCTCACGCTAACTCGGCCTGACCTCGCCTCGCCTACACCATTCAGTAAGTCTGCCTCTTTATGCGCAACCCACGGGAGCCACATCTTGCCCTCATTAAGCGCATCCTACGCTAAGTGAAGGGCAATCTCAACGCAGGTCTCCAACTCGGCACTAGTGGTCATCCATCACTGTCTACTCCGACACCGGCTGGGCAGGTTGCCCCAACTCCCAACGCTCTACCTTGGGCTTTTGCATCTTCCTCAGCGACAACTTGGTCTCCTCGTCTTCCAAGCGGCAGACTACAATGTCTCGTTCCAGTGTAGACGCTGAGTATCGGGCTGTTGCACATGCATTTGCCTAGTGTTGCTGGTTGCGGCAGTTGCTTCAGGAGCTTCACGTCTCTAATTCCTTCGGTGACGATTGTCTATTGTGACAACATCAGTGCAGTCTATATGACCACCAATCTAGTTCATCGTCATCGCACGAAGCATATTAAGATTGACATCCACTTCGTCCGTCAGAAGGTTACTTTGGGCAGGTTCTGAGTGCTACATGTCCCTTATGCACATCAGTTCGCGGACATCATGACTAAAGGACTGCCTGTATGGTTGTTTAGTGACTTTCAATCCAGTCTATGCGTCCACTTCCCTCCCGCTGTGACTACGGGTGGTATTAGGTCACCCCTCCCTTAATGGGCGTGAGGTGCTTCCCTAATTCTCTACACATACCATGCAGTGATACAAAGAAAATTACATGTATAGCAACAATGTTTATCAGCTTGTACTAGGGACACTAATTAGGCTAGTAAGTGATGCTTGCCTCTTTGTTAGAATCCAACTCATACCCGTTCTTCGCTGCCAAAGCTTTAGCAATACCAACAGATTCCTGGAATGATATGGTAAAATACTTAATGGTAAGGGTAGCTTAGAAAAGTAGTACTAAGAAAATTTCTCACCAAAATGGCAACACCAGTGATAAGTACTGCAGTTGGCACAAGTGACATTAGATGTTCAAATCCTTGAGGAATGGAGAACTTGGGAAGACCCTGTGGTATTTCACCAACCTAAGCACGAGAGAGAGAGAGAGAGAGAGAGAGAGAGAGAGAGAGAGAATGAGTTAATTGCGTAGTTGTCCATCATATTGTGTGTTGTTTTGATATAAGCATAATAATTGATTATTTTTTTATGTACAGTACTAAACTATCTAAAAAACACAGACTTCTATATATTTAACAGAGCCCATTGCACAATAAAATTTGCAGGTTTAATCATTGTTGTCATATTCCACTGTATCTAACCAGTATGTTGCACCTACACCAGAACGCAGCTCTATCTCATTGTCAAAAAAAAAAGAACGCAGCTCTATCTCCTCTTCCATTTACCCAAAATCTTCCTCCATGGCCGTAATGGGTGTAGACTGGTTAGAGGTGGGTTGCGTAGATTAGAGGGAGATGAGGTAGGTGGAAGAGTGCCAAAAAGGCATCGGCGGACCATGGTCACCCGTATGCATGGGAAGGACAGCGCATTGTGCTGGCACAAGAGCGGCAGGGGGCATGGATACCGGATAACTCCCTACTACTTGACCACTAAGCAATCTAGATGTAGAGTACTTATAGATTTGGACTCTCTTTTTTCAAAACAATCTCTATTTCCTAAACTGAATTTAGTCTTATCCTATCTCTAATTGGTGGCTCTCTTTTTTCAAAACAATCTCTATTTCCTAAACTGAATTTAGTCTTATCCTATCTCTAATTGGTGGGAAGCTGCTCTTAAGGGTTTGGGGTGTACCGGATAACATTATTGAATTGATTATATTCGTAGAATGAAACACGCAGGGCGTAGAGTGAGGAGTAGGCTGTCCTTGGGAAGAGAGGCTATATCAGAACTACGCCCATAGAGGAACTACTTTCTATACTACATATCATGTGCTTTCCTAATGGTAGAATTGCTAAAGTGTTGGAGAGCTATTGGACAATATTGGAGAGGAGTTGCGCCATTTCCGGGGCGGGGGGCGGCGGCGGCGCCGGCGGCACGACCGGTTGAACTGGCAGCGCGGTGTTCTTGGCGTCCACCGTCGCGGTAGCATCAGAACCTAACATCGCCGATACCAGATTGATAGGATCCTTGATCCTACCCCGGCTGCGTAGTGCGTAGGGATGGAAGATGGGAGGTCGGGGCTTGATCTCCAAGCGGCGCGTGGAGCCGTGGCGGCATCAGGGAGCGGCGGCGGCGGCTTGCTCTGCTAGCCCTAGGGCTTGCGTGAGAGGGCAAGGAGGAAGGAGAAGTGCATGTTGGAGGGGGCCCTTGAGGCCCGGGCAAGATAATTGTCTGGCTTGATTAATTTCCAAAGGGTCCAGGGATATACATATCCCTTAACGTTTACATGCAACTCAATCTAATAGATCCTATAATTAAGGAAATAAGAATAATATCTAAGGATAACAAATCCTGGGCGCCTAGGCCCCCTTGCTGCTGCCCGTCCTAGCCACTTACTCGGCCCCTGCGCTGGTACGTGACGCCGGTCATAACAGTTGACCGTTAGGAGGTGATCATACCCACATCAAGCAGGGACTAGGAGGTTTGGTAGTAGTGGTGAGGATGCCATTAACCCGAGGAGGACCATTAACTTGAGGAGAGGACCAAGCGAATTGTTGCCACTCAAGGCCATAGGAGAGGGCATACCAAACCCTAAACCCTAAACAAGCAGGAAGGTCATAGGAGAGGGCGCACCAAACCCTAAACCATAAACAAGCAGGAAGGTTTAGAGGAGGGGCACCCTGACCTATGGACAACTTGAGTCCCCCAGCATAATGAGCCATCGTCGGAGCCGCAATCACCTCCGCCGGAGAAAAAGCACTACAGGGAGATGACTAGCTTGCACGGAGCAAGAACCTACTTTAGCCGCATGGTAGGGAGTCGACAAATGGAAGCCAAATGAGAGGTGAAGCAATTAAAGCATCTCCCCTTAAGGTCAAGGGGAATAAAGGCGAGACCAACCTTAGAGAGTTACAGTACCTAGACGAACCGGAGGTGTTCAAACAGCTGCCTTAGAAAGAATGAGAGATAGAAAACTAGAGTGACACCACCGCTGCATGTTGGAACGGCTCGCCAGAGTGAAAGGGCGAGCAATGGTAAACAAGGGGGAAAGGGAACCTAGAACCTAGAAAGGGAACGAGTCAGCCTATGCGGAGGTGCAATCATAGTGGTGGCAACAGGGAGTGGAGTAGCCAGTGGCACCGGGAGATGAGGGATTGGGGGTGGGAGCTGAGGTGTCCATTCCTCTTCACCTTTTTGGCCACTTGTAGTAACTTGAAATTACATGTGTATTTTTTAAATACTACATGAAATATTTATAGAATTTTGTAAAATTACTCTAATAAAGTTATTCTTGAGCAACTAGAACTTTTGTTTGAAGATGTGAGCACAAAAAGAAAGGAGGGGTAGTAGTTGACATTTGATCAAAAGAACAGGCCTACGCCGCCTTCTTCCCTGATATTCAGCAAAGTAGCCGTAAATAAGAGCAAAAACTGCCATTTCTTCCCCTTGGTTGCCCAAGGTGCTGGGTGCCACTCAGCAATCATTGCTATTTCGTTGCAGTATGTTAGTCCATGCATTCTTTATATCTCCTAGTCAAACTGTAAATAAATCTCACCACTGATATGGCTGGTGGATGAAAAAATTTCACAAAAATTGTTCCAAGCACAACAGCTGTAAGAGGACCAGAAACTCTTAGGAAACGCAATCTTTTATTGGATTTTCCCTGCAAGGTTTTATGGTCACAAACAAGGAAAATGATCAAGTTAACTGAAATATATTTAATAAATAAAGAAAATAGAAACTTACTCTATTTTTCATAATTAGAAGAATCGCAAGAAAAGTTGATCCCATCACAAATGGAGGCCAGGAGAACTGCTTTGTCAAGTTAATGAAAGTGTTTAAATTAAATATCAGAACTAATATACTAATTTGAAGGACAGTAGGCTGTAAAACATAAGTGCAGTTCACTACAGTTAAAATGAAACATGATAAATTTATGTTTAAGCACAACAAAATTTGAAGTTTACTTTCATTAAGTAATGACACATGTGCCAAAAATGACACAAACAGTGTTCTTGTTAAACAAATGCTTCAATTTGCTATTTAAATTTTAGCTTATATTTCAACTGATTATAAACCTAGCTCCTTCTATTCCTATTTAAATACACGGAGACCAGGATTATCATACAAGGAGGTCATGCCTACATAAACACTATAGCACAGGGTGCCAGACAAAGTTAGGGAGATGATGCCTTATCTACCTAAACATTCTGCCTCAGGGCTCAGATGTTCACACAACAAGAATATCAAGCTGTGCCACGGCCTCACCTAAGGCTTCAATTGTGGCTACTAATTTGAGATAGGTGCAATGTCATTTGGTAGCAGGATGTAATAAATCCTTGTGCATTTTCTTAGTGGTGTCTTCGACAAAACAGGGACTTCTTGAGAAACACAATTGAAGATGAGCCATTTCTACCAAAAAATTCCAAAATCCATATTTATCTCTTTGTGGGATTGTGCTAATAGGTTACTGTTGTGTGTGGATTAGAGATTGTTTTATAAGGCAATAGAAAAATCAGTTCCACCAATAGGGATTAGATTTTCCACGGGTTAAAGATCTCTTGGATGTCAAGTCAAGCCATCTCTATAAAAGAGAGCCATATTGCAATCAAGACACTACACATGGACTCCAATCATGTCCTCAAGATAACTTTGTCATGTGCCTCACCCGAATCAACCACCAATTCTATGCTCTCAAGGATAAGGAAGATTATGCCAAGGTCGTCCCTAAGTACCTACGGGTTGTTCTGCCAAGTTCGTGTAAATTGAGCGCTCCATCGAGACGCTCTTCAACATGGCAACACAAACAACAAAGTAGCTAATGGTAAGGATGTTGTTAGCACCAATGACCATAACAAGTGCCACAATTGTGGTCACAATAGTCAATGGATTTGTGATCAAGCGAGGTCAGGCACACCTTGCGCAAGACAACGACAAGCTTGCACTTCTGATGGTGTAGGTTTGCACACTAAATGACACTTTTGTATCAAACATCAACCATCGTCAACTTTGACGAACAGCAGATGCACAGACACTAATGAAACTATAAGAGAGCTAGATTATCACATTGTACTCGTTGGCTTGCTATTGAGATACAAGGATGTGGACAGGTGGTGTTCCTCAGGATTAACAACGAGCACAAGGCGCACTCTGACATCTACCTCACCCGTTCCTAGCAATAGCATTAGAAGCTGCTAATCGAGTATGGCATACTGCAACATCTAGGATGCCAGCGCCAATCAAATCGCCCATGATGAGGAGTGAGCTACGTCCCTTTAATGAATCAAAGCACGATCCAACATGGCAAGTAACCATGCGTGAGAGGATCAACAGTGCTGAAGTAGGTCATCAAGCTCAAGACAAACAAGGTAGGAGAGGTGATCAGGCACAAGTCTCACCTCGTCGTCAAGGGCTATGTGCAACAGTCGCTCATATCGTACATGTTTCTAGTTGTAGCTTCGAAAGAAAGCTAAGCGGTGCATAACATGGATGTGAATTTGGCCTTCCTCAGAAGCAATTTCCAGGAGGTACATCTCGCAGCCACTGAGCTTCGTCATCTAGAAACAACTGCAAAAGGCGCTTTATAGGCTGTGGCAAGCGTCATGGGCTTAGAAGGAAAACTGCACATGAGTACATAACGCGGTAAGCTCTTGGGTTATAGCAAAGCACGCATGAACCGGCAATGCACAAGTGCGTCCATGGAAACTCAAGATACATGGGGTATATATGTGGATGATTTGATCATCACTAGATCGACCGAGGCTGAGATAAACTGCTACAAGCAAAAAATGAAGGTGAGGTTCAAGATGAGCAAGTTGGGCTTGTTCTCTTTCTACCTTTCGCAGTAGAGCAGCAATAGGATTATGCTATGCCTGTGCAAGACACACTATGCCAAACGCGTCCTAGATAAGGAGTGCACTCAAGTTGAACATGATAGAGAAGTCATACATCACTCAAGACCAAAGGATGATTATCAACCTCCGCTATCTTGCTTACACGCAAGCAGACCTCACTTTTAGCATGGGGAGAAGCCAACACGAGAACACATGGTAGCAATGAATAGTCCTCGCTATGTGGATGGAACTCTATATTGGCTACCACTAGAGGAGAATAAAGAAAGCACGGCATGTCAGCAACAATGACCTCACCAATGATTGTTGACACATGAGAAGATACGGTGATCTGTTCTTCTATGGCATTAGGGTGCTAAGCTGTCTTTCAAGCAGAAGGTGGAGGCACTCTTGTGACATGAGGCAGACTATGTGGCCGATGTGGTTGGCTCGGCTACTCAGCGACTTCAAGAGAGGCAAGCAGCATAGCATATAGTTGTGCCACCATCCTGTCACCCAACTTCAGCAACAGCGACCAGTGATAATGAGACTATTTCCTTTCTTCCCAGTTGTGTCATTTCCTCTTCCGATTTCTTCCCTCTCAAAACCACGCAGGCGCACAGCACCAGAAGCATACAGTGACGGCCATGGCGACAAGCGGCAAGTCAACAATGCTCCAGCTATGCATGCCACCCGCAAGCTTGCCCATGCACCCGCGGTGGACATCGGATCTGTTGCGAGCCAACAGCGACTCGGCGTTCAGTTTCTTCCCTCTTCTCCCTAACTTTTTTTCTCGAAAACACAGGAGAACTGCGCTTCATTATATTAAGAAGAAAAAAAAGGGGAGAGACCCCAAATACAACACACACCACACCACTCCAAAATAAAAGTACATGCCTGTGACAACAAAGAGGTGACCAAGACTAGACGTCCTCCAGGCTACAGAGCTACAGGGGGAGGGGGAGGCTGGGAAGCCAAGAAAGATAGCCCCCAAGCCCCCGACACAGCCCAAAGCCGACTCTCCTCTAAAGCAAAACCCAAAGCACCACCCAAGCTGGGAGTAGTAAAATCAGTTGCTAGTGTCTTCCTCATTTGTGCCAACTGAGATGTCTAGCCCGCTGCACTCTGATCAAGACACTTGCACTCGCCGGGTCACAACCCAAGCAAGATTAGATCGATGTTCCTCGTTTGAGGACAAAGTTCCTAGAACAGGGAACACAACGCCGCTCCATGTTCCAAGCTGCTAAGAGCTGGAAACTAGAGCTTAAACTAATTTATTTTATTTACGACTCAAAGGCAACAATGAGCCGAAAAGTGATCAGTTTTGTCTTTGTCTAGTTTAATTTTCCTTCAAAACATAAAAATGCATAGCTTTGTATCTAATAGAAATGTGTCTTCCATAATGAAGCATGAATTATATACAAGTGCCTCACAGCCTATAGTCAATATACCTTATCAATTCCCTTCAAGCCACCATTTGAGAACAACACACGATGCAATGCAAGATTAAGCAAAATGAAAAGGTGAAATATTTACTAAGGGAACAGGAAAAAGGAATATAGGCTGGCAAGAAGGCAATAAATAAAATCATGCGAACGCAAGGAAACCCACCTCATCAGCTCCTGCAATTATGCTCTCAATGAGTGGTATAATTTTGCTGCTTCTTGTGACATTGTAACCTAAGAAATACTTTATCTGGGATAAACCAATAACAATGGCTGAAGCTGTAGTGAACCCAGATATTACAGAATGGCTAATGAAACGAATAAGCCAACCAAGCCTGCATACAGAATAAGACATATGAAATGGTTACACATTCTCTCTTAGAAAAGCATACCAAGAAGGCGTATTTTTGTTCTACTCCCATCAAATTAAGTAAATAGTTAAGTCGGACAGCATAGGACGAAGTCGCTGCACATTGCAAAAAGGATAACTTAGGTTGAACCACATGGAGAAGTATGGTTTCAGCAGATATAACACTAGAAAGGGGCCATTTTAGATCTTATAATTACAAAAGCAGGATATATGCCTCTTAAGTTTTTATACTAAAAATAGAATAGCACCTTATTTCTTGGCTGAGTATAATTTGAAAACAAACTATTCCAAAAAATCTCCCAAGAACATAGTGCATAGAGCATTATGTACAAAAGCAGAACTTCAAGGTAAAAATCATCCACTTTGTAAAAAAAAAGGGCAGACCCAGTGCCGGAGGCTCCCACATGAGTGGGGTCTGGGGAAGGGAAAAACCAAGGCAAGCCTTCCCCCCGCAAAATCTGCGGAGAGGCTGCTTCGAACCCGCGACCTGGTGACTCAGTGAGACAAAAAATAATAATGGCATGGCCCAAGGCCCATAATGAATGATCATGGCCAAGAGGCGCAGTATGTGCAAGGAAGAGGTGGATGGAGTGTTTGAAATTTCTCTCTTTATTATATCATAATAAGAAATTAGACTTAACTTCTGTAGTGCCTATCTTCCTTCTCAACCAGGCTTCATAGCCTTGTCTGTCCTTGGACCAACAACCATGACCAGAAATAATGGACCAGCAATGCGCCTGAGTGGTACAAGTACCGCCCACCTTTTTGTAGCATTTCCCTCAAATTTTTAAAACAGCAAATGCTTCATGTGCCACAAATTTCCATTGTTCCATAATTTGAAATTTTCCTGATAAGGACACCAGGTATTTTCCATAGCTGTAGAGCTATCAGAATGTTATCTGGTTGTGCCTTGGCCTTCTTTACAGCCTTTTTCATGAAGTCTTGTCTTATAGTTGCAAATGGTTGGGTCAATAGCCTCATGAACGCAAACGCAGTTGTAGTGCAATGGTTGGGCACCGAGTAGAGGTGCCAACGAGCCAGGGATCAATCCCTGGTTTTGCACGGAAAAAAGTCACTCTCTGTGCAACCTCCCAGATGTTCAGTGTTCTAGGCCTGGATCCGTTAATCACAATGGAGTTGCCAGCCCACCGTCTACGGTACCCCACACGGGAGGCCAGCCTTCATGGCTTTTCTTGGCCGTCTTGGTTGAGTTATACTTGTCATGTGGGGCAAGACATTCACCCACAGAACAAAGATGGCAAGCGCAGCAAATCGGGAAAGTGGCTATATTGGCGCTAAATTGAGGGCAATCCTGGGCGCACCATTAGCTGGTGCTATTTTAGAAGCTTAGCAAGAGTGATTGGGAGAGAATTAAGGGTGATTGCACTGCCTAATGGCTATGTATTACGTGAGCTACCCTGAGAATAATCAAGCAAAGCAACAATTCTGTAGCTGGGCTTCTCCCCAGCACTTCCCTCTCTCTCCCTCGCACCCTCACGCCGCCGGGGGTTCATTCCCCGGCCACCGATCACATACCCCTACTTCCTCCGCAGTCTCTGTAGGATCCTCGATCCTATCAATCTGGTATCAGAGATGCCAGGTTCCGACGAGGGTGCAAGTAGCCGAATGTGCCACCGATGTCGCCACCAGATCCCATTGCCAAGGCGCTGGCTGACCTCGCCTAGCGGATGGCGGCCATGTCGGCCCGCCACCGGTGTTGGCCACCACCATGCCGCCAGACATGCCCTACGGGCTGCTCGGCTATGGGACGACGGTCTTCTCTGTCCCAGGGGCCGGCGTCACACCTTGTCGCACGTTACGCTGCCAACGCCCATCCACCAAATACAGTTCCCCCATTCCCCATCCCGAATACCCTCCCTTCACTGCGGGGACGTCCAACTTCACCGCCCCGGGTGCCTCTTAGGGTGCAGTGTTTCCGTCCACAGCGGCAACGACGTTTCCGTTTGGGCCGCCGTTCATCAGTGTCCCCGACACACAAGCGCGCATAAGCGCGGGGCGGTGAGCTCCGCTCCCCCCCCTCCCCCCTTCTACAAGCTGGACTTCGCCACCTTCGACGCTCCAAAAACCTTCTGGACTAGCTCAATTGGTGTGAACAGTTTTTTCACGGCGAGCACACCCTTCCGTCGTCTTGCGTTTGGCTCGCGTCGTACCATTTCGTCAGCGCCGCCTGGATGTGGTACTACGCACTGGACTAGGAGCGCCTCAAGGACCTATGCAACCTACACTTCGGGCCGACGGTCCGCGCCAATCAGCTGGCCGAACTAGCCCAGCTACCGTTCCTCTCCACGGTCCAAGAATATACCGAGCGTTTCAATGCACTGCTTTGCCATACTCCGAACTTGGCGCCTGCCCAGAAGGCCAAGCTGCTCATGGGTGGTCTACTGGAGCACATCCGGATGGACGTCGAACTCCAGGAGTAAGGGACCTCCAATCAACAATGCACCTCGCCCGAAGTGTATGAGCGCTGGGCTAAGGCCATGACACCGGCGCCAACACAACGCATCGCACACCTAGTTTCTGCACTCCCCGCCCTGCCCCAACGCACCCCACTATAGGTGCCCCTGATGCGCCAGCCATAGGCGCCCATGAGGCAACGGCCGCCGTGCTAGCTCCCCAAGCGCTTCCCGCCCGCCAACAACCCCCCCACCCCGCCTTCCGCCGCCTCTCCCCGGATGAGATGGCCGAGCGCCGCTGCCAAGGGCTCTGCTACAACTATGATGAGCCGTATGTGCGCGGCCACACGTGCCAATGCATGAGGCCTCAGACTACATCGAGAATGACACGGTTGAGGACGTGGCTACCGTGCGGGCGACCGAGGACGTCGCCAATCAGCCCGTCGTGTCCCTCCATGCGATCGCCTGCATCCGCACATAGGACACCATGGATCTCTACGTCCACGTCCATGGCCACCACCTCCTCACGCTCCTTGACTCCGGCTCCACACACAACTTCATCAACGTCGGGGTTATACGCCACCTCCAGTTGGTCACTTCGGATAGCGCCAACATGCGGGTAACCGTGGCCAACGGTGAAAGCGTCGCCTGTGAGGGGGTGGCTCGCAACATCACTTTGAGCATCGACCACGAGGACTTCTCCATCAGCTGCTATGGCATTGATTTGGGCGTCTTCAACCTCGTCCTCGGCATCGACTTCCTACGAACTCTAGGCCCATTCTGTGGGACTCGAGGAACTCTTCCGGGCGTTCTGGCAAGACAACCGACGCATCTTAGAAGAGGGGTGGGCTCCTCTATAACGATGTCCAGCAGTAGTAGCCGGTCGTTCGCACATCGTCGAGGCACCACAACAGCCGTTACTGGACCGCCTCTTATAGCAGTACAGGGTGGTCTTCGCGGAGCCGCAAGGCCTTCCACTGGCGCACCCCTACAACCACCACATGCACCTACTACCGGGTACAACACCGGTGGCCGTTTGCCCCTACCACTACCCCCAAGCTGCAGAAGGACGAGCTGCAGCGCCAGTGCGCCGCAATGCTAGACCAGGGCATCATCCACCCCATCAATCCCACTTCTCAGCACCCGTGCTGTTGATCAAGAAGGTCGATGACTCGTGGCGGTTCTACATCAACTACCGCACGTTGAACAAGCAGATGTCCAAGGACAAATTCCCAATCCCGGTGGTCGACAAGCTCCATGGCGCTGACTACTTCACCAAGCTAGACCTCCGCTCCAGCTATTATCACGGCCACTTCGAGTTCCTCGGTACGCCGTTCGGCCCCTCCAACACACCCGCGACATTCTAGGAGCTCATGAACGACATCCTCCGGCCTTTCCTACGCAGGTTCGTGCTCGCGTTCTTGGACCACATTCTCATCTACAGTTTGTCGTGGTCCGAGCATTTGCAGCACGTCCACCTCGTCCTTGACACACTCCGTGCCCATAGCCTCCGGTTGAAGCGATCAAAGTGCTCTTTGGCATACGAACGGGAGCTCATCCAATTGGTGGCATACGACCGGAGCTCAGTCCACCGTCTCAAATTGGTGGCATACGAACGGGAGCTCATCGGCCTGGTCCAAACCATCCGACAATGGCGGCTGTACCTATGGGGGTGTCGCTTCCTCATCCGCACCAACCACTACAGATTGAAGTTCTTGTTGGACCAACACCTGTCTACGATCCAGCGGCATCAACGGATCAACAAGCTCTTCGGCTTCGACTTCGCGGTTGAGTATCGTCCCAGCCGTCTGAACACGGTGGCAGACACCCTCTCTTGCCTCGACTCGGACAGCACCGCGATGCTCGCCATCTCCCGGCCCTCATTCACCCTCCTCAATGGCTCTACTTTGGAAAGGAGGTCTACCCCGACGTCCAGCTCGAGGACGAGCTGTTTGCGGAGGGGGGGAGAGATGTCATGTGGTGCAAGACATTCACCCGCAGAGCAAAGATGGCAAGTGCAGCAAATCCGGAAAGTGACTAGATTGGCGCTAAATTGAGGGCAATCCTGGGCACACCATTAGCTAGTGCTAATTTAAAAGCTTAGCAAGAGTGATTGGGAGAGAATTTGTTAGTCGCTGAATTCTCACTCTTGGTAGTAGGAGAATTCTTACTCTCATCGAGAGAGGATGACACTAGGAGTTGGGGCAATTTTCTTGTCTATTTCTCACACAAGCTCACACAAATGCCATACCAACCTGAGGGGTTGGGGTTACATATTTATAGGCTGCTAGCCAGCCAAACATATGCCAAGATGCTAGTCTAAGATGCTAGTCTAAGATGCTAATATGCTGTCCTAGCTAAGATGCTGTCCTCTAGTCTAAGATGCTGTCCTCTAAGATGCTGTCCTCTAGTCTAAGATGCTGTCCTAAAAACAGAAAAACAGCCACAAGGACCATGTGAGCAACAACAGCCCCACAAAGACCAGCCACACATGACTTATCCATCAGAATTAAGGGGTGATTGGGCTGCCTAATGGCTATGCATTCCGTGAGCTACCCCGAGAATAATCAAGCAAAGCAACAATCCTGTTGTTGGGCTTCTCCCTGCGCCTCCCCTCTCACTCCCTCGTGCCCTCAAGCCGCCGAGGTTCAAGCCCCGGGCCCCGGCCACCGATCACATACCCCTACTTCCTCCGCAGTCGCCATAGAATCCTTGGTCCTATCACTACTCTACATAAGACAATGACCTTGGGTGGTCATTCCCAACGGTCAAGTACTTTTAATAACCGCATGAACCAATGTAGTGAGGGTTACTGCAAACTTAGTTGTAGGCAAACTAATTTTATCTTTAAATTTTGAAGATTATGCTGCATGGTACATTGATGGTGTACTTCTCACTGTAACAGTACAGTTTTTAGCTTATTGCTTGAATAAATCAGGTGGTATGACTACATAGTTGTGCTTGCCACTCCAAAATAGAAAAATACTCAAATAAACCAGGTGGTGAAACATTCTTCTCTATAAAGGTCAACTTCAATGCTTGAAATTTCAAATGCTCCAAAGAAACAATTAAAAAACATTTTTCCTGAGTAAACAAAGTTACCTTAGCAATCCCATCAAGCACTCCAATATCCCAACCATGAATGCCAGTAATATGGCTAATTCTGTGTACAGCTCACTAGATGAATTAACTATACCCCCAAGAACATTGGATACAAGCAGAGAAACAAGTGCCACTGGACCTACTGCTAGTTGTCGTGACGAGCCAAATATTGCATATACAAATAATGGGACAAAGCCTGTGTCTGTTCAGAACAAGGAAATGGAAAAATATGGTTTGCATTACCAATTGAGCTCACTTGAGAACATAGAGGAAAATATAAAGAGGAGATTTAAAGATGGAAACACTTACAAAGCCCATAAATTGGGTGCAGCCCAGAAAGCTTTGCATATGACATTGCCTACAGTACAGCACAAGAAAAAAATGAGGTTCTAATTTTTGGAGAAAAGGTAAGATGGAATGGAGGGTACACTAAAAAAACATATTTGAGTAAATATATTATTTATTATTGTTTATTATGAAAATTAAGTCAAGTGAACAAAAAATTATGAAGCAACCACTTATACAGTACAAGCGAATAAGGACTGATGAGACCCAATAAGAACAGATGATCTATTCAATCAAATGTGATTTCCATTGTCATAGGATTTGATTGCTTCATTGACAGCATTTATGAACAAAAACAGACTATCGAATATATGCAGTCTGCAACAGAAAGATAATTGGAAATTTATCATTCTATTTGAGGGGTTCATGTTGAACAGAGGTGAAGGATGCACTCCATTGGAACTTGCACCTAATCAAACACCGTAAGTCCATCCATGACCAAGAAACAATGACATGATAACAAACATGAATGGCAGCAAGCAAACCACAGAGATTGTATAGTCCTCATGTTGCTAACAATGGGCACAGTTGACTTGTCATTTAGGGCTTGTTTGGATGAAGGCTAATTGTTAGCCAGCTAATTTTAGCTCTAGCCCATCCAAATAGGAGGCTAATAGGTGGGCTTTTAGCCAAGACTCCAACTAGTTGTTAGCCTACTACCTGGCCAGCCCCACCTAACTTGGGATAACTTTTAGTCCCAACTAGTAAATAGCCCTAGATGATCCAAACAAGCCCTTAGGCAAGCTCGGTAATTTAATAAACCAAGATTTCCATCTAAAAACTAATGTAGTTGGAAACAAATGTTTAACTCAAAGCCACATGACACTAAAAGCAAGACTCTGTTAATTATATACAAAAACAGCCTATACATGGGACCCACGAATTCCTGTAGCTTGAATTCCTCGATTATTAAGGTGCACCAACACATTAGATCGCAAAACAACTCGCAAAGCTCAAACTTTACAAGATTTTGTAATCGTTTTGGCACAAAAGTAGAGACGCCACTTGGGCAAGTGACCCGACAGATCGTCGTTCCATAACAGGGTACTGCATTCTTCTTGGCTCTTCTCCTATTGCCTGGAAGTCCAAGAAACAGGCTGTTGTATCTCGTTCTAGTACAGAGGCTGAACTTCGAGCACTTGCCACTACTACTGCAGGAATTGTATGGCTTCAATGGTTGTTGGCTGATTTGGGGATTTCTTGTGATATCGCCACACCTCTTCTGTGTGACAACACTGGAGCCATTCAGATTGCCAATGATCCTGTGAAGCATGAACTTACAAAGCATATTGGTGTTGATGCCTTCTTTACTCGGTCTCATTGTCAGCAACACACCATTGATCTCCAGTATGTGCCCTCAGAACTGCAATTGGCTGACTTCTTCACTAAGGCACAAACTCGAGAGCAGCATCGACTGCACTTGCTCAAACTCAATGCTTCAGATCCTCCGCTTCCACCTTGAGTTTGAAGGGGGTGTTAAGGCCCATCTACTATGAGGCTTTATATATAGTCATCTCCATTTACTAGAGAACCTATCTATCTTCTCAAATCCCTAAGGTTAGTAACAGCTACAAACGTGCCCCAAACACAGTGGCTGACACATGCCGCTCACCTTGCCGCAAGGACACAGAGGCCGCCACTCCCTGCCACAACGACCAGTGGCAAGCAAAATCTGTGGCGTCATCCAACATGCATCTACAAAAGACGCCTTTTTATTTCTAATAAAATGTGAAACAATGTCACCTTTGATTGATCCTTGACTTACTTCTAGGCAAAGACTAACGTCGGTAATTTTATTCTTAGATTTTTTCCATATCACTACATGAATGAGGTATATTTTACCTCTGCAAGAATGTGAATTATTGCTGCATGAAAGATGCAACCTGAAACCTGAAAGATGCAACCGGAGCTGTTACTAATGCCTGACACTAAAAACATAAACCTGAAATTTACTGAAACCAGTACACATTCTTTGTGAAATGAACTTGAATGATATGCAAGTCTGTTAATGTTTCCTAGACTTATGAATTTTAGGTTTTAGGTTTCAGGTGTCAGGCAGTTTAGCTCTTTGTATGGAACATCATTTAGTTGTGAAGCCATCCACAATAGCACTTCGGCGGGCTGAAGGCCTACTTCACCGGCTCCACTGGGTCCAAGGCTGCCATTGGCGTCATCTCTGACATCTTTGGTAATCTACTATGCCACGGGTGAAGCTTAAAGGTTCTTGTGTTTTAAGTTATCAAAAAAAAAGGTTCTTGTGTTTTTCTCAGCACTGAACTCCTTTCCTCTCTACAGGGTTCGAACCACCAATTGACTCATGCTTATTGTTTGATTCATTGGGTAGCTCTGGACCAACAATGTGTTTACCAGGTTTCAAAATGTTCAGATAGAAATGCTGATTTTATTTGGTAGCTCAAGTGATACAAAGGTGAGAATTATGTCATCAAGTTGACTTATCCAATTATCAAACCAGCCATGTATTTATCATTGTGTTCAAACAGTGATGTATATTCTGAGCATAGAGAAACACTAACTTTTTTCTTTTGTATTTTGTGTCGTGCTTAAGTCTGGTAAAAGATTGATAAAGATTGAGCCCTGATTTTTTTTAACAGTTCATCAAGATAACAAACTGTTTTGTCTATATCCCAGTTCATCAAGATCGTGCTAGAAAACAATGTCACTTATCAGTTTGTATTTTGAATGCTGTAGTATGCCTATAAATAGTGACTGCCATGTGCATGATATTCAATTACTCACTTGTACAGAAAGCAAGCCAGTACAGAAATCTTTTCCATGATGACTCAATTATATGGACAGCACTTTTTTTGGCTAGCTCCAAGTTTTGAAGTTTGAGTTGATTAAAGAGATCCAATTTCTTTCCTCTTGATTTTTAAAAGAGTCTAATTTGTGAATAAATTTATTGCTCAGTTCAGTGCTATAGAAACGGCTTTGACAAAGCACAATTAGCTAAGTACTTCAAATTTGATAGAATTAACTTTGGACTTAATATGACCCGTAGCGATAGCACGGGCAATATACTAGTTGATTAACAACGATCAAGCATCACTGAACCGTTTGACTGTTTGAGTTCCCTGCTAATACAATACTTTTTGTGATTTTGCAATGAAATAGAGAAGTTCCGCTATGCTGTTTCGTCCCGCTAGCTGGTTCGATTGTGGTTGTACTTCATTGCGTTTATACTTGTGCATGCCACCTGCTTTCTTAGTATGGTGTCTGACTAGCACTTGCATGGTTGATTCCTAAAGTTAACATATATCAATATGGCATGCAATTTTTGTTTGCCCGTAGCAAAGCACGGGCCCTCACCTAGTATCTCAAAAAAAAATAGCATACGGCCGGAGTAAGTGGGTGTATTGTACCTGGGGCACAAGCATGACTCCAACGGTGATGCCCGCGGCGAGGTCGGCCTGGAGGTCCTCCTTCCATCTGTACTTCCGTGTCCACGCCACACACGGCAAGGCCGCCTCCACCCATTCAAGTGGCCCCATGGCCCGAGCCCTTCCCACAGCCGCCCGCCACCACGGCGACGACGAGGAAGACGTCGACCCAGAACCCAACGGATGCCGCATCGGTATCACCCTCAGCGTCCTTCCCCCTCCGGAAGCTGCGGCAGCTAGTTCGCTGGAGCTCCTTGACGCGTAAGAGGATCTCTCCATTTGATTTGACGGTTCCACCCCCTTCTAAATTTCAGAAGAAGCGCTGGGCACAGAAATTAGTGTGCGGATAGACGCAGTGGGGAACGCGGGAGCCAGCCCAGTGCTGGAGATGGCCCGGGAGCGGCAGAGGTGGTGGCGATGGAGGGGAGGCGTGACCGCGTGCGGCGGAAGCGAGGGGCGGCGGCGCGGAACGGGAATGGCTGTACGTTTCCCCGCAATGTGAATGTGAACGGCTAGATCATGTCAGGATAAGCGATCTGCTCCAAGAGGTTGACTGTTCACCCTTGAGCTGTTGATGTAACTGGACGGCATACACGAATAGGTACATCTTCGTTCTATCACTGAGATGTACCAGTTGTTATCAAAAACAATCGAGATGCACCAGGACGGAACAGTGGAACGGTGCACTGCGCATGTGATATTGATCCCGATTGGCACGCCCCCACCTCAAGATGCACGTTGTATCTACTCCATCAGTTTTTAATTTATATAAAAAAAACACTCCATCAGTTTTATTAAATCACTTTTCCTATGTATCTCTACTCTCTATCTCTTCTCTATCATCTACAGTATCAAAATACACCGCTTATGAAATTTTCTACAACCTCAACAACAATCCCCACAATAATGACCTCTCCCACATGCAATAAAACAATTGTACCAGAACCGACTAAACTTTGAAACGAGAGGACGAAATCAACTCTAGCCTCTCCTTTTCTCTTACTCACTCAAATCTAACGGACTAGATTGTTTAGATCAAACCCCATCACTCATAGCTCATCCCATCCCGCACCTGTTGACGGTGAAAATGTCATACTTTTTTATACTCAAAATCACTGTCAACAGCATTGGAATGAAGGGAGAGCATATTTTGAACATATTTTATTAAATAACTTAGTTTCATATGTACATGCCCTCTATTTGAATGTAGGTCCAGAATGGACGAAAAAACAAGCTTGGGGCCAAATTTCACACGTCAGCCGACGTACATATTCAGCATGTTCACTTGTTGGTTTCAGCCAGGGCTTATCAGTTATGGTACAGTATTTTTCTCTCACAACAAACCAGCACCAGCCGGGCTTATCAACCCAGAAATCAACCAGCGAACAGACTGATTATGTCCAAATCAGCTCAACTTTGGTGTGGAGCGAGGCGACACTATCCCCACCAAGGAGGTGCAGCCCACTTGTCATAGGGCTACCAAAGTGGGGTCGCCTGTCTATTTCCACCAAATCACTTCATACCCACTCAACATCAAGAGGAGAGGACCTCCCCTCTCCAAACACACCACATGAGGATGAAGCACTCCACTCTCTCTCAAGATGTAGTACTAGTAGTAGTGTTAGTATAGCGAGGAGTTAGAGTGAGTCGGGGGTCTCCAGCTCTAGTCTTCAAGGAGGTCTAGTATGTTCTAATATTCCTTTCTTTGTAAGACTTGAGTTATCTAATATAGTTATCTTCTCTACTTTGCCTTAGTACTTTACTTTATTGCAACATGACTAGTTATGTTGTAGTCGTTGTTAGCATAGTCATAGTTTTATGATACTGAGAAAATGATAGTTTACCTTTGCGCTGGTTCACCGCCCTTAACCCGATGCTCTAATTAGTTCCACCGGACGTCGGATTAGAGTAGTGAGATATAGTGTAGACGTGGTGTCTAGACTATATGCTTACATGTGTTTGCGGCTTGCTCTACGGTTTGTTTGTGGTAGCTAGTAGGGGTGACAAACCTATATAGCCTTTGATCCCACCACGTGCGGGCAAGTTCTTAAAACGTAGGTCTTCTTGTGCTAGGCGACTTAGCACCCTTCTCATCCCTTTTCTGTAGCTAAGTGGCTTAGTGACCCGAAGCGCAATTGTGTATGAACATTGTTCTTGCTTGATACAGCTTGACTTGCTAAGTTAGAACCATGCAAGTAGAGATAGATCTTTGAAAACCTTTTGCTCACTCGTTGTCCTCCTCGCTTGCTAGACTACTCATTTATCTTTGGAACTTCTCATGTGTGTGTCATCGCTCGTATCATATCTATCACATACCCCCACTCTAGTTTAGTTGGTATATTAGTTAGTGGATCCATCATGGTTAGCTATCATGTTCTTTAACCATTGCTTCCCTGAGAATAAATACGATACCCTGGAAACTCTTGGGTGAAATGCTACAATGATATTATGTGCGCTTATGGAATATTCTACATGAGCATAAGAAATACCAACAAGCATTTTTAACGTTGTTGCAAGGAAGCAATTGGCAAATGATTTTGATACTAACTTTGATGTCTACTAATCTATGTTACCACTAGCTATTGTGGGATCACCATTGTCTTGTTGAGTGTGGAATAAACAGGACATCAACCCCATTTTGACCTTCCGGAATTTTTCCACAAGAAAAAAGAGCAAAAATCATTGAAGAGCCCATGGTGCCCAATCATTCATGCATCATCAACACTTCAACCCCTGCTATCTCACAGGTATGTATATGCATATATTCTAACCCTATGCACAAATGAAGAAGGTCGTCGTCATAAGGAAAACAGAATCATCATGTGATGGAGCAAAAGCACTCACAATTCTGTCTCAAATTGTGAGCAATGATGGAACCAATCGTGGTATGTGAGACCCTCCCGGGAGCCAACCCGGAGTTATACTTTTATCCTTTTTTTAATACCACTGCATGTTTACTTGAATTATCATATCTCTAGAGCTTTCTTTGGCTAGGACTCAAAATTCATGCATATCCATCGTTTAAATTGATTTCCCCTTCCAAAACCACAACATGTTTATTCGAATGCATTTCATCCACCTCGTTTGCATCTTTTGAATAAAAAACAAAAAAAAGAGATCCAATGTTTCACCATTCATGCTCCCACCTCTACATGAATAAATCTTGAATAACTTTGTCATGCTTCCTTTTTCTATGTTTGTATGCTTTGGTTTGGGAGTGTTGGTCCCACTTCCATAGGCTTTTGACTTAAGTGTGTGTTGCCGGTAGTTATTATCCATCATAAACCGTCAATATAACTTGAAATCATGCATGAAAATGATCACCAACATAGAATTAGGGGTTTAAACTGACAATTTCCATAAGTTTTGGTGAATCTATGTTTTCAGCAGGGTTTATACAGAAAACTATCAAGGGGGATCAAAACGTTAAATTAAATCGCGCTTATCCATCGCATAAACAATTCTAGAAGGTTCTAGAAGGTTCCAGAGGATCCCAGAAGACAACCCACGCAAGCAGATCTAGAGAGGATGCCAGGTGGGGCTAGCCAACCCCACCTGCTGGTCGGCCGGCCCCTGGCCCCACCTATCGGTCTCCGCCTCGCTATGTTAGTTCTCCACCGCCTTAAGGATTGCATCTACATTGTTCTTTCAAGTCGGTTTGATCCAAGGACTCAGGATTGACGCTTTAGCCTATATATATATCAGCCCTTGCCCCCCCTTAGCACGCTGCCATAAGTCAAGATCAGACCAAAAATTAGGGTTTCCAGAGAGAAGAAAATAGAGCTCCAATTCTTCAAGTTTCTAGTATAGGCTAGCTAGCAAGGTTCAAGTAGAGTGTGGGCTATTGCTCAGATTCCTGGATCTACCATCTGAAGACTGGTATAGCCATTGTATCTCTATATTTATGATTTTATGCTACTTCAATATTATGTTGCTATTTATTATGATCTTAGTTTACTCTAGTTATATGCTTGATATAGTTATGATTGATGATGAATTTATGCATATGTTCGCAAAGCTCTTAGCTCAGTACTCGAGTGAGTTAAGTGGTCGATATTATGTAAGCATGGTGCTTAGATATTGTTTGCCTGCAGATGCATTCTGCACTCTGGGTCATGTGGTAGATCACAGATGTGACACTCCTATTGAGTCCTTTATAGTCCACTCCCCATTTGTAGAGCAAGTAGAACGTGATTGTGAAGGGAGACAAGCTCTGTTCTTGATCTTTCTTAGTAATATTCCTTATGCATAGATCTAAAGTTAGTTATGCTATAGATGAGAGTGTATATACTTAGGTATACAAAAGACTTAGTAAATAAGGAATGACTTACGAATCTTTTGCTCTTAATGAATCTACTGTTTAGTCATACTACATTTTATGAGTCTATATTTCTATCTCTGGAATACCATTATTATCTTACACTTATCATTTATTTATCATTTGACTTACCCCTGCCATAGCATGAGAGTGGTTTTATCATAAGTATATATATTTGTCAATATCTCTATGCCAACAATCCCAAAGCTCCCCCCTTGGATAAAATATAAATAGCGATACTCGGTATACTCCCGGGTGAAATGCTACAATGGTATATTTTCTGTGCGCTTGCGGATACTTTATTTAACATATATAATTTTCCCTAAGTTTATAGGTATCATTAATAATTACCACCCACATATTTCTGGCATCATGCTAGGGATGACAACTTAGTAAAGAGTGATGCTAAGAATATCAACAGCATGATGCTTAGGTTTAATAGCTGAAAGGATCAAGATGCCCAAGAGGGGGGGTGAATTGGGCTAATTCTAAATTTTAGCAATACTTAAGTCCTACACTCAGCCCATTTCACCCCTTGTGCCTAAAATATGTTTCTATTGTTTTCCCGCACAAAAGTTTTGCACCCTATGTTCCAATCTTACTCTAGCATGGTAATTGTAGGAATGTAAAGACATAAAATGAATTACTCAAATGTAAATGCCTAAAGTAAAGAGAGGAAAAGGAACACGACAATATTTTCCTGAGGTATCATAGAGTCGCCACTACCCACTAGTCCTCATTGGAGCACTTGTGTAAGGGTGTAGCTCCCCCTTGATCTGCGCAAGGATCAAGTGCTCTCTATGGGCTGAGTTTTTGACACTCCGTCGCAGTGAATCGCTCACAACCTCTCACAACTTGACTTGGGTCATCCACAAGCTCCGCCGGATGATCACCAAGCTCCCAATCACCACCGAGCCATCTAGGTGATGGCGATCACCAAGAATAACAAGCACAAACTCTC